TGGATGGGACAGGGCTATTTACATAAGAAAAAACAATATCACGCATACTAAAAAGCAAACTCTACGAAGTTTAAGACGACATTTTTTTTTAATTATAAGAATAATAACCAAAAAATATTAATTGTTGTCAAATTGCTTTTGAATGTGTGTGATATTGCTTCTCCTTATGCAAATAATCATATTCCATCCAACCATGACGACAAAAGAAAACTGAAGGTTGACGAAATTTCGTAGTGTTGGCACATGAGAAACTGTAAATATCTTAAAATTTAAACATCTCGATCTGTGTACGCTATCGGCAGCTCATATTTTAAACTAGTTAGTTAATACAAAAACAAGCTAGTAAAAGACACCTAGTGTCGGATTCTTTTACGAAGTCCAAAACTCTGTTTACGAAAAATATATGCAAACACATCATATATATATATGGGCAATGTAGAGCAAAAAATAATAAAGGCTATAGAACATAAATTCCATATGATTTTTCAAGTTTTCTTTTGTTCAAAATTCCTTCAATAAATGTTTTTGAACTAAAATATGTTTACAAAATCGTTCCAAAAGAAAATAATTAGCATTCATTCTTAAGTTCAGCAACGCAAAAATTTATTGATATATTAAAGCACTCGTCAGTGGCTGTAGAATTCAGAAACTGCAAAAGTTTAAAAAAGGAAAGAAGGTAGCAGAATACGGATCTATAATATTAACGGGTTATACTAGTAATTAATTTCATTAATAAAGTCACCATCCAAAAACGTTTGAAATTCGACAACAAATCAGAAAAATCAAAAGATCAGAAAAAAATCAGAAAAATGTTCAAATTTCAGAAATTTTCCTGACTTTTCAGAAGATCTAGTAATCCTGATTTTAACTGTAAGTTTGGATGAACGTGAGTTCGGTTTTATTAGAAAAATACTAACCACGTAAAGGTACAGAAGAATAAATTAAAGAGAAGAGAAACACGAACATATATATGCGTAGGTATATATCCATATAGAGTGACGCATAGAAGAGAAAGCAAAAATCCAATGACGTAGTTCGTAGGGAAAATGTTCATGTGTACTGCACAGATACATATTTGAAAAATTCTCAACACTAACTTATGTCATTGATTTCTTTCGACACAAGAAAAGTTTGCCTATTGATCTAAGAATCCTGGTTACGCTGCTGATTACAGTGTTCTGACGAACTACGTAGGGGACGTCCTTGTTTGATCGACACTTTCACTAGGATCCATGTGGCTCTCATGAGTGATGAGGGTCGTTTATAAGTCTTTCTAGTATGGGCTTCATTCTCTTTATTTTAAATCTGTTCGATCGATCTGCAATTTTCAGCACGTTTACAGCACATTATTTCAGGCCATTTCTATATGTTTCAGCTTCATTCATTGATTTTAAAGTTAGTATCGACTTTGAAATCATTCTTTTTTAGAACTTTAGTTATATAAAAGAAAATATTTCAAGACATTGCATATACAATTTGATAGAAAGTTTAATTCTGAAATAACGTTTGAGTTAGAGTAAAAAGGTTGTCGAAAATATTTGAGAATACTATGTCATTGAGTTCAAGTTTAGATACAATTTGGGTATCATTTCATTTGTTGTAGAAGCCGCTTTAACCTCATTTTATGAAGTTTTGGGTTGACCTTATAACTGTAGATAGAGCAGTCATAAAAACCTACAAAATGACATAAAAAAGTCGTGAGAAACAGTCTACCTTGTCTCATTTTTAATCACCATAACAAGCAGCACAATAAAATATCAGTGAAATCCTGGAGAAACTCTCGTGTATTTAGCCGTTTTCAAAATAGTCATTTTATTTTTATGTAAAATAAATGACATATTTCAAATTAACATAAAAATTTGAGTTGAATAGTATATATACTTCAGTGAAAAAATGTTATTTAACAAGAAACTCATCTGTACTCTCGTCAGATCATTTTTTTAAACATTTCACCTCACGGAGGGACAGATGAGTTTTTGTCAAAGAAAATTTTTTCACTGTAACATATGCTATTCGACTCAAATTTTTATGCTAATTTGGAATATATCGTTTATTTTGTATAAAAATAAAAAATAATTATTGTGAAAATGGTTAAATGCGTTAGAATACCTGCAGAATATTATTCGCATTTTATCGTATTGCATATTACAGTGATTGAGAGTGAGAGAAGACACTTTTGCAAGCGTTGTTTTACATTATTTCGTAACTTTCTAATTAGACCACATCAGCCAGGCAACATGCCTCCACCCTTTGACCTTTCTTAGTTCCACCGTTATTTACTCATCCAATTCTTATTTAATTTTAGATAATACATTAATTTACAATGAAAATCCTCACTGTTATACTAGCTATTGTTACAATATCCACCTTAATCTCTATCATTGACGCTGTCGGTAGCAAACAAGTAAATGATAAAACATAAAATAAAACTTTTTTTTAATCGTTATCATCAATTTATTTAGTTCTTAACAAATTTATTCCCAGGATGGCATTTTAAATCATTTTTAGAACCCAAACGACAAGAATCATTATTTAATAAATACATAAAATTAAGAAAAGTATTTTCAACATCTGAAAATAATCTGCTGAAACAAAAAGAAAACGATGAAGATAATTATGCACGGACATGTAAGAACGTTTGTATTATTAAAATAAAAAGAGACATGTTTTTTACTTAGATATTCGTCGTAAAGTGATTGGTATTGCCGATAACCCATTTTAATCGTAATTCTACATTGATGATATTTTAATCAAAGCAAGCTGTCTCATATTCTATGATTAACTTACTTTCTGATTTTTTTTTATGTGGTAATTTTATTGTTTAATTTTTATTTATTTGAAAATGCATGCATTCTTTTATCGATGTAGAAACTGTTTTGAATGAGTTGCCTTATGTTAATCATTATTTTCATCCATATACACTCGAATCAATCATACTAAGTATACAAAGTTAAAGCTAATAATAAAATATATGGAAATATAAAATAATACGATTAATAATCTTTTATGGTTCAAATCTAAGCGTGTATTATAAAAAGAAGGAAGATAAACTACATCCGGATGTGTAAGCTGATTGGCTAAGCCGCCGTCGCTAATGTCCAAATCATTCAGCCGTGCCGTAAACGTTGCCCAGAATAGTTGCTGAAAAGTGTGTGTAACTTTTGGTACTCGTGAGGGTGTGGGTGTGGGTGGGTGTGGGTCTAGGTATGAGTGTTGGTATTAATTTCACGTCCACACCCACACTCACACCACTATTTTCTGACTCTTAGTTCTCGAGATAATCACGACGGAAAATGACTAATAAGATGCGTACGTAAAGTAAGTAAACTAAATGACACAGGGGCTAGGCCCGTGGTGTGAACTCGGTGCGAAGCACAACCCCAAACTGAACTTATCGTTTATGAAATTATAAAACTTTCGAATTGGTCGAAATCGAAAATTTAGGGAAGAAAAAACATATTTGTATATTGTACAAACTAGAATGATGAGCTTAATGCATATTTCATTATATACGCCATAAATCAGTTATTAGGAAACAAACTGGATATTACACTAATTAAAAATTGATAGACATTGTCTCAAAGCGTATGAAAAGATGCGGCAGAATAATGCCGTTTTTCTGCTGCCCTCCCTCCATGGAACTAATGCCGCGAGAATTCATAAGTATTCGAAGACTTTGAGCACTCATGCTAAAATCTGGATGTCTGAGTACAAGAACTGATTAGTCACTGTGTAATATTGAATGTTTCGTGGGTATTCTATGTAGTTTTTGTGTAATCTAGTGATTTATGTAAAATACTCATAAATCTATATTCTGTTCAGTATTGTCGTATTACATCTATTTTATTTAGGTATAAAACTAAATACAGACAAATATAATGAATATTTGAAAAAACAATGAAGATGAGAACTACAGCTATCATTTTATCCATACAGTTTTTTTGAAACAAATAATAGATCTAGAGAAATCTTCTTCGTTAGAGAAGAAAATGAAATATTTGTTTATTTTTATATGATAAAAATAAGATTTTAGTTATTTGTTTAACACACTAGAAGCGATGGGTCCCACCGATGAGGCCCGCCATATTTTAACAAGAAACTGAATAGGAAAACACTTTCTTTTCCCTTTTTTCTCGGGCAAGAGATTACATGTAATGTATCATCTGCTCTGTCTCGCTATTATTTGAATTACTTATTGCATAGCGTGATGTTTCTCGTTGAAACAACCAAGACAATAAAATTTGTCACAATCATGATAGCAGATTTTTATTTTCTTTGCTGTCGCATTTGTCCGATCTTTACTCCTTAGTGTGCCATTCGAGAATATGAAACCTAGTCCAAGACAACAGCCAATAAGCCAAACGAAGCGCAAACTCGCTGATCACAAGCTCGAAGAAAAGGAAGGATCTGACCACGATGTCCGAAGATGCTGTGCTGACTGCTACGATAAAATCAGACAACAACCATTAAGAGAAGCAAGTAATGCGACAGCAAAGAAAATAAAAAGCTTCTATTCTGATTATGACAAATTTTATTGTCTTGGTTGTTTCAACGAGAAACATCACGCTATGCAATAAGTAATTCAAACAACAGCAAGGCAAAGCAGATAATACATTACATGTAATCTCCTGCCCAAGAAAAAAGGAAAAGAAAATCTTTTTCTATCCAGTTTCCTATTAAAATACGGTGGGTCCTATCGGTGGGATCCATCGCCTCGAATGTGTTAAAGATTTTTATTTTAAAGCAAAATTTTCATCAACTGTTTATTATTTTAAAGTAAATAATAACAAAAAAAGTTCATTTCAAGGTTTTTTCTAACTGTTCTAATTCAATATAATATAAACTACAAAATTATTTATATAGTTTTAATTTAATAAAAAATATCGATCAAATACAAATAAATGTTTATGTAATGGATAAAAAAAACATTTAAATCATGCAGCTTTAATTCACGTACCATCTATTGAACGATAACAGTTTGAAATAACAACAAATTATTTTCAAATTTCATTATATTTCAATTTAGCCATATTAATTAATGAACATTCAGTAGTAAGTGATGGAGATAAGTTTGATAACTAACGTATTTTTAATTTTTTTCTATAATACTAAACCTCTAGCTGAAATTCAGATAATGAATTTAATAGACAATGCAGTTTTCTATCAATACATTCTATATCAAGATTTCATAGATGAACTATGATGGCAAGCTTTGTAAAAATTCGAACACGATAGTTTTCATGTTTGAGAAAACTTCGTTGAAGCTATTTTTAAGAACGCCGTAGTACAGAGAACAAAATTCTGAAGAATATAAGAGATCGCCATATTTTCTACAAATTTCCCTTAGAAAGTTAAAGGCATCACGAAAACCGTCAAAACTTGAAACCTTTTAAGAGGGGTATCTGCAAAATACACGAACACCTGCGAACACCTTGAAAGGAAAGATAACTTAAACCTATTTATATACGTAGGCAGATAGAACTCGATGAGTTATGCTCACGAACACCTGCGAACACTTACTTTGAATGGATCCGAAAATAGATTCGAAGGACACAAGTCAAATTTTTTCTGCAAACACCAGTCCAATGAAAATAAACATCCACTTTAACTAATCTTGACGCAAAACGTGTATCACTCTATCGAAAGTATATCTATAAATATCTACTAATATTTGTTTAACCGCACTGTGACTTATATAATCGTCTACGAACACCAAGAAAGTGATTCAGAAAATCTGCGAACATCAGTTATTTGAATAGATCTCACTTGAATATACATTGTACAAGCTTTTTACACTGTTTCTGTGAAGTAAAATATATTAAAAATGTGACCAAAATGAAATAATTCAGTTTTTTTTATTTTATCAACAACGTTATGAGTAAAAAAGTTCTTTTTTTTCAGTTTATTAATCATGATTACAGCTTTTGCTTGGGAAGTATATTTCGCGTACTTTAGAAAGTGCAAGTATGAAGTCTTGGTTGCATATTTGCAACTGATCAGCTTCTTCGTACGTAATCTCAATACGTCTTTTATCCACAATATCACGACGCATTGCATTGTATATAGCTAAACGTATAATATGTTCTATTTGAGCACGTGTAAATCCTTCACAATGGCGAATAATGTAATTGATATCGATATCAACTTGTAGTATTCCATTACGAAGTAATGGTTTTGTATATATACTAAATATTTGAAGACGTTCTTGATCGTCAGGTACTCCTACCTCGATGGTAGCGTCTATTCGACCTGATCGAAGAAGAGCAGGATCCACTGAATCGATATTATTCATATAGTTCCAATCAAAAATATATTGTCCAAATGAAACATCTCATCTATTTCCGTAAGTAACTGTAGAGTAACATTGTCTTCGACATTACTTCGTATTCCATCAGCATGATCGGCACATTTTTTACAAACTTCATTGATTTCATCAAAAACAATTATATGAAGAGGACTGTCGGATCCATATAACTTTTGATCTCGACGAGCATCTGCAAATAAATCACGTATTTTGTGTTCTGATCTGGCTGGTGAATGCTCCTCCTTTTTTCCAAAATATATCCTTCCGCTCCTCTTTTTCCTCCTTTTTTTCATTTTGACTGCAAAGTCATCAAACTTTCGATATTATAAGCTTAAAAATTTTTCAGATAATCATATTCTAATAAAAGATGTCTCTTTACTCAACTAAATTCCATACTTCTTGGTTAGAAAAATTGGATTCAGACGGTACTTCCATCAAACGATGGCTCAAACAAGGTGCAAATCCATCAGCGTTTATTTGTACCTTATGTAAAACTGATGAATTATCTTGTAAAAATAAAGGTTGGGAATCAGTTGAACGACACATGAATAATAAAAAACATCGTGATAATTTAAAATTAATAAAGGAAAATTCAACATTTATTATTCGAAATGAACCAGCTGTCACTCAATATCAGCAAGGTTCTTCATCATCAACTGTCCCAATGGTAACACTTACTCGTCAAAATGAGAACATTAGCTTTACAGATCAAGTGACACGTGCTGAAGCATTATGGGCTATTAATACAGCACGTCATGGATACAGTTATCGTTCCTGTGATGACCTGGGGAATTTGTTTAGAAGAATGTTTCCGGATTCACGTATTGCAGAACATTATAAAATGGAACAAACGAAACTATCGTATGTTATATCTCACGGTCTTGGACCATTTTTCCATCGTGATCTTGTACAGGATATTAAAAAATGTGAACGATTTGTTTTATGCTTTGACGAACAGAAGAATTATCAAAATAGTAAACAATTGGATTTATTATTAAAATATTGGAGTGTTGAAAAATAAGGTGTAGTTACTCGTTATTATAAGTCCATTTTTCTTGGTCATGCTCCAGCTCAAACGATTCGAGATGATATTATGGATTCATTTCGAACGGATGGAATTGATATTAAACATTTATTGATGGTTGGGCGTGATAATCCAAATGTAAACAAAGCAATTGAGAAACTTCTCGATACAGAATTAAAACAAGTTGGTGGAGAATTACTCAAATTAGGTTCATGTAATATCCATGTGATTCATAATGCTTTCAAATCAGGTGAGGAAATAGTACATAATCATTTACTAGAAATAACTCTTTGATTTTTTAAGGTACAACAACATCATGTTGGCATGCTGAAGATATCTGCATCGACTTATGGTCTTGGTTTCATTATTCACCAGCACGAAACGAAGATTTTGTTAAAATTGCTGATGATCTGAATGAAGCAGTTGAAAAAAAATATTCTTTACTTTGTTGCCACTCGTTGGTTATTACTTGCTAAAGTAATTGATCGAGTTCTAGGTAAATCGGTTTCATTAATATCCTTTATTATATGCCAAAGGTATTTATTTTGAATAGTTCAATGGGAAATTTTAAAAGAGTACTTTCTTGTGTATTTACCTGCAAATGATAAAGTACAAATCAATGGAAACAAAAAGTACAATTCGATTAAATCATGTTTAACATCACACGTCTCAAGAACTCGTTTATTATTTATTTCCTACTTATGTCGTTCAATTTTTGATAAGTTTTTGACAATATTTCAAAAAACATGTCCAATGATTCATTTGTTATATGAAGAATTATCAAATGTATACCGTATGATTTTATTGTCGTTTTTAGTATTCGATTATGTTGACAATAAACAAGGTGCTGAATTATTATTAATTGATTATAAATTAGCTGAAAAACAATTCAACGATAAACAAATAAAAATTGGTGAGAAACAGTAAAAGTTAAAAATTGTTAATGAATTGTTTTCATTCCAGGTGAAGAAACTCGAAAATCATTATCATTTTTATCCAAAGTTGAAAAAGAAACTTTTTTCAAGATGTACGAAATATTTTGCATTCAATCGCTTCATATTTAAAATTAAATCTTCCATTGGATAATTCATTCTTGCGTGACATACAAATATTGAGAATTTCTCGTCGTTCTGATCCTGAAGGAAGTAATACCATTGTTCGTACTGGTCGATGTGTACTTGGTTTATTATCGTCAAATGAAATTGATCTTCTTAGTAATGAATGGTTAATGTATTCATTGGAAATAATTGATAATTCTTGGATAATTAAAAGAAAATATAATGATTTTGAAGGAAAAGAACATATTGAATATCACGAAATTGACTATTATTGGAACAAGGTATTTTCAATGGTCTAAAGTAATGGATATCCAAAATATCCAACGTTGTCCAAACTCATGAAGAATATACTTATTATATCACACGGCAACAGTGATGTTGAACGTGATTTTAGCATTAATAGCAATCTTCTTACCGAAGAACGAACTCTTTTATCAGAAAAATCAATAAATGGACTTCGTGGTATTTTCGATATTGTTGATTTTTTTGGTGATGGATCAGTACATAAAGTAACAGTTGACATAATTATCGAGGTTGTTCAATGAAGGTTGAATCCTTTGTTTTAGATGGTGATTAGTACCGATATGCTTCATGCGTTTCAAAAATCAGCATCATTATATAAGGAAGAATTGTCAAAAAATGAGAGCAGTGGCTGCTGCTCAAGAACAAGAAAATGAACAAAGCGAAAAAATCGAAGCTGAAAAAATGAAATTATTGGAACAGGAGAAAGACCTTATGTTGAAATATAAAAAGCTTCAATCAGAACAAAAAGCAGCTCAGATGTTACTTGAAGAAGGAAATCAACGTTTAGAAAATGCATTAAAAAAAAGGTGATCTTACTGATGTACAAGCAGTCTATACATTAAGCAAGAGTGGAACAGAAAAAATAAAATCTATTGATGAAGAAATGACAAAAATTATGGAAGATGTATCGGTAATTCAACAAAAACGAGGTCGTGCTGAACGTGAACAATTAAAAAAAGAAAAATAAATTAGTTTCTGAACAGTTAATGAATAAAGATGATGAAATTTAGTGATAAACAATTTTCGTTGTTATGAAACAGTCAAATAAGATTGTTTTTATGATTCATCAGATGTTTTGATTTGATTTGTTTTTGTTCTAAGCAATTGATTTTTCATTTTTTTTGTTTGAAAGATATGAATAAACATGTTGAAATTGTGATAAATTTCTTATTACACCCCTCCTAAGCGAATATTCGTACCCTTAAAATTTTATAAAAGTCACTTGTCATAATAAAAAATAACTCTTCCATTTGTCCTCCAATGTGGCAATACATCCTCCAAGATTTTTTTGGATAAATCCTTCCTATTCCTCCTTTTTTCCAGATCAGCGTTAACATGCCAGCTTTATCCGACGTTATTGACATTATCGGAAAGGTGATAATGACATAAAAGAGTGATTTAATTCGATCTTTGTAAGATGCTGGTGATTGAGAGTTGGTTCCTCCTTATACTAGGTGAGAAGTCCTGATCACCAATATCATGTCCTACTTAGTGTGCTTTCTTATACGTTTCTACATGATCCTCATATATGGTCACTTAAAAGAATTCAAGAGCGCAATGTAGATATTAATAACTACTATTCGTTTATTCCTAAATCACAACCAACTACAACTGTCTTCAATGTTTTTCATCACGCTGGGAAAAAGTCGGGTCAATAAAGAAGCCGCATCACTTCTGTAAAAGCTCGAAAAAATAAATAAATCACAAGTATTACTATTAAAAATTAAAAAAAAGAGTTATTTCATTTTGGTCACATTTTTAATATATTTTACTTCACAGAAACAGTGTAAAAAGCTTGTACAATGTATATTCAAGTGAGATCTGTTCAAATAACTGATATTCGCAGATTTTCTGAATCACTTTCTTCGTGTTCGTAGACGATTATATATGTCGCAGTGCGGTTAAACAAATATTAGTAGATATTTATAGATATACTTTCGATAGAGTGATACACGTTTTGCGTCAAGATTAGTTAAAGTGAGTGTTTATTTTCATTGGACTGGTGTTTGCAGAAAAAATTTGACTTGTGTCCTTCGAATCTATTTTCGGACCCATTCAAAGTAAGTGTTCGCAGGTGTTCGTGAGCATAACTCATCGAGTTCTATCTGCCTACGTATATAAATAGGTTTAAGCTATCTTTCCTTTCAAGGTGTACGCAGGTGTTCGTGTATTTTACAGATACCCGTAGCATTTTTGTACATCTTGTCATCAAAATCTTAGTTACATTATGCTGATAGTTCAACGCTCGTCTCTTAATTAACTAAACATGATGTATAGTATTGGCAAAAAAAACCAGCAAGCTAATTATGTAATATATAGACATTGTCAATGAATTGAGGCTAATTAAAATAATAAATAAAAGTGAGATAGAGACAAAGAATGAATCAAGGGAACTGTTAACTAAAAAATTATTTAAATAGTTGATCCTTCAAAAGAAAAGTTGATCATTGTGATCGATTTCATATCTGTCTCAATTGTGTGTAATGTACAGATCATATTGGCACTGTGTGTGTGTGTTATTTAATAGACTTGTTTCTATTTTCGACATTACCCTAATAAATTACTCACTATGACTAAATAAACAAAAATCCAATATATGAAGAAAATTTTGTACTGAGATACTGTTGATTAGGCTTGCTCTTGTGTATGTAACACTGTTAACTTGTTTTGTCAAATGATTCTTTTTTTACCTTTGCAGCAAGACAACTTTAGACGTTTGTTATCATTCGTTATTTTGTCTAATTTTCTTTCCTTTTTTTTTATTTTGTCTTACTACATATTCTAGTACGAACAGGTCTACACAAAATGTGCACAGAAAGTTGCATACGATGACACATGTACACAAAACGATATGCTTCAGTGATTTAAGCACGACGAATCTTGCACATAAAATACAAAGAAAAAACAGATGCCTGAAAAGATATCGAAAAGCAGAAGAAAGTAGAAAAAAACTAAACTGATTTTTATTTTAAAATCCGTAATATGTTATACTCATGTATATATAAATAGAGTCTAAAAAATTTCTATCGGTATTCTTATACATAATTGATATTAAAATTGTACAACAGTCCATACTCATCTTTTTATACTTCGAACTTTTTCTTCTTGAAACAAATTTAGTTTAATGACATTATGAAATTAAAACATTCGAATACTTAATATCAACAGTAAATAATTTAGTGTCTATGATAAATACATTCTTGCTTATAAATTAACACTTTACAAGACATCTTTAACTTTTTTATTAGCTTTAATAATGATTCATAGTATTGTTTATGATTGATCGTTTGATAATCGGAGTCTAAGATAGTTTGCTCTCACTAAATGATTCATGTTATGTATGAATATTTGTTTTCTATTCAAATATCTTGCTTGATATTCAATACCTAAGTCTTATAATACAACGTACGAAATTGTTATCAAATGTATATGTGAGAAAAGAGCTTGCATATTTTTCTCTTTCAACATACAAAAATGATTGTGAAAAAGTAAAATATTCATGTGTTTAATATTTGATTTTAAAAAATAAAACAAGAATGATCATATCTACAATTCATTCGACTGGAGATTATCGAACCCAAACTTGAAGCATACTCTTTATATTCTCCATCAAAATGCTTTCATCCGAATCTGATACCCACTGTAAAAACAAGACAAACTCTTTTTTCGATTACTAGCATGTTCTAGACATTGACAGTGATTTTATGATAATCAAGTTACAATTGGTTTTGAATCTTGCAATAGAAGCCATCGAGATGCTTCCAAACTCGATCAATCAAGTTTTCGGATATGTATCTGACTTTATTCTCAACCTGATGAATTCTAATGTCCATTTCAGAGATAAATGGCCGTGGGTATTTTTCGAATAACTTTTGATAGGAACGAGATAAAGATCTGTGGTTTTCACCGTTGGAAAGAGCAGATGAAAATGTATCGAACAATATATAGAAAGATTTTTCTAACAACTTTCCTAAAGGTTTTAGTCAAACGTTTTCAAAGAATTGCGTTTTTCTCCTACGTTAAAAAAGTGATTTTTCTATCGAAATATCACAAAAAACCTCCATTTTTCGACTATTTTGTTGAAAAACTGGGTGGTGAATTGCACTCCAATGGCTAGAATATCGTATTGGTAGTAGTTAGGAATAGAGCCTTTCCATAGTTTTTTGTAGCTCTTCATTTTGCGGTTCTAGCACACTCCTGAAAGTCAATAAATTAATATCGCAATCATGAGAGGCATGCTGATTTTCTTGAAGTTTTACGTAAAACCTTCGGGAAAGTCGTTAGAAAAATCTTTCTATATATCGTTCGATGCATTTTCATCTGCTCTTTCCAACGGTGAAAACCGCAGGTCTCTATCTCATTCCTATCAAAAGTTATTCGAAAAATACTCACGGCCATTTATCTCTGAAATGGACATTAGTCATTATCTTTCGACGTATAAACAAATGTAAGTGTCATATAGTGATAATAGTACAATAGGCGTTAACGTAATAAGTGATTTGCAATCGTATATCAAAAATAAACGATAGAAATGACTCATGTTGATCAGGAAAGAAAAAATATCGATAAACTGCGTATGCATAATTACGCCCTGTAATGACGATTGTGGAAAATTACCTACTTGCTTATTGGTATTGCACCTGTCGCTGGATTATTCCTAACGACTGTTATATATAATAAGAATATGAGTCTGATAATTCGTTATACTTGTTTATTTGTCTCTTACATTTATTATCATTTTAATAATCAATTCAATTAAGATGAAAATGATTACTAGAATTTTTGCCATTATTATGGTAATAGTTTTAATTAATGTTATTAATGCTAATCCAGTGAAAAATGTAAGTAATCAAATATAAATAAAAACATACTTCTTATAATATATTTATTTAGTATTCTAATCATTTATCCAAACAAAGACTTGCATCTTTATTGAAAGCAAAACGACATATAGTATTCGATGATAAACTAGAAGCAGCGGAATACAAAGCACCAAAACGTAGAGTATTTTTTCATGATGAAGATCAAAGAGATGAAAATGATTATCTACGAAGAGGTAACGATTTTTGAATTGATCTAACTAGAAAAAAAACGTTGTTTTTTATTTAGTTGTTCGTGACAAGATCATTGGTTTAGGTGATGATCCAGTTTAGAAGATTGTCATTGTTACAAGTTATCAGAGGTGCAGAATATATCCGACTGCGCCAGCGCCGCTGGAGGAAAAACTTCGATTTCTAGGGACGGTTTGGGGAAATTGCTGGGGGAAATTTTTCGAAATCACGGTAGATTCTGCACCTCTGCAAGTTACATATATATATTTCAACTTCGAGCATTCTTATTGATGTCATTTTAAAAGAAGAACATAATCTTTTATTTTTCTTCCAATTCTATTTGGAAATAAATATTGTATCGTTTTCTGTTTATATAGATATGTATGTGTTCATTGATAAATTTTGATGTCATGCTATTGTGATTTTCATTTTGTGTTGAGTTAAGAAACATGAATTTTAATTTTATGTTAAAGATATTATGCCCGATTTTGTATTTAAAGTATTAATAAAGTAAATTCTAGTTGTTCGTAACAAGATCAATAATCCCACAAATTTTGACAACACATTTTGTTAGAATCAGAATCTATGATTACAAGGTTTGATAAATAGTTAATATAAATAATGTTCCGTTCATATTGATGAATGATCTGTTGCATCGTTTCACTAAAAAAACAAAAATATACTATCAACAATTGAAATATCTTTACTTCAGTTCAGTTAAGCGAGCTGATTCTTTTTTTGTTGTTGATGTTATTATAGATGCATTTAAAGTTTGTTTTTCTATAGAGTTTATATAGCGAGATATACTTTTGAAGTATCATTATAGATTTCGCTCAAAAAAAAGTAACCTTTTATTCATGAAGAAAAATATATCTAGAGTGATTCTTAAATAATTTGCGGTTTTTATCTAAGACAT